TTCAACAGATTTTTGTCATATCAACCTTTAAATAGCTGAGAAACATAACGGTCTAATAAAGCTTCATTTATTCCGACGGTCATCAATAAAGTTCCTAGATGGTATGAATGTATGTAGCGAAAGTCCAGGGAAATGTGGAAGATTTTCTTCAAGTGCCGTCATACTTATGATCCCCCAGTTACTATTGTAATAAAGTCTAATCCCATTCAGTATTGGACTTTTCAACAACATGTGGTATTTAGGACTCGCCGTGTTTCTTCCTCTTCGCAAATAGTTTTGGCTAAAACTCATTAATAGTTCATTTAATTATTACAGATTCCAAGTTTCAGTTTGCAAAATGAAGTGGTTATTAATGCAATAGCCTGAAATATGAGCTTCAGTACTACACTAATCTAACATATCAAAAGTTTCTTACGAAGAAACAGCGATTAAAGTTTCATATAACTGATCAAAATTGACTTGTAGTTCCTAATGGTTTTATATTAAATGCTACATATAATGTTATAAAGAGGAGCCAGTACCATATTGAGCACGACTATAATCAATATTTGCAAATCCATCATTTATCACGGTGAATTATTAGATTAACATGTAATATGAGCGTGATATCCCAAACAAATCAAACTCATTCAAAACATGAAAATACTTAAAACAAGGTAAAATAGTGTTCATCCAAGCGGCAAAGAGAGATTTAAATTATAAAATTTCCATTCAAAACTAATCTTTTTGCTGCGTTAGTCGTTCATAAATAGGAAAATTCGATTAAATAAATTTAATTTCACTTACGCAGTTGCTATCTCAAAATATACATACTATAAATCCATTTAATTTTATTTGTTTAGTGTAAATACATATTATATTAANATTTTCCAAAGACTATGACGTTTCTTAGAGGTGTATTCGTTATGTCATTTGTGGTCAGCCATTACTCTCCGAGGATACTTATTATGAAATGGGTTATAAAGGGATAGTTACATTCAGCGCTTCAGTACAAAATTTGTGGTGATAGTAACAAATTGAGAGAGAACTTTGGTTGTGAAAAGAACGTTCGATTGAAAGAGGACGTTGTCGACATCTTGAAAACGAAATCGATTACGTGATTTTCAACGGTTCTGACAAAATTGAGACTGCCCAAAAGAGCTTTCATCTTTAACGTGATAATGTAAAATAAATTTACTAATTTTTAAGTGGGATTCAGATAAAATTTCTAAATGCGTCAACATCAAAGCATCTCTCCAATTTCTCGTGTTTTCCTACATCCTCTATAAAGAAGAGATTTCTCGTTAACCCTCTTAACGTGAGGATCGTTTGGATCGTTCTAAGCCCCCTTAAACACGAAAAGTCCATATAAACGCAGTACCATCATCGCGTATAGTATCCGATTTCCTACGCGACATTGAACGTGATCGACAAAAGGTCAATGCCGTATAGTGTTCGGCGATTAGATGGACTAAAATCCAAGTAGAGGAGTATAAAAGGGGGATAAAAACCAGCTGCCATAGGCACGTGCTGTCAACGACAGCTGGTTTTATCCCTTCAGCTGTAAAACTCACCAGGCTCCCCCAAAAAGAATTTTTTCGATAGAAGGAAACACAATAATTAAAGTTGGATAAAGATATTACTTTTTTTCTATTAAAGAGGTTGAAATAGATTTGTTGGTTGAAATGGGGGAACGTGAAGGTAAAAGAAGAAAAGGAAAACGTTGGAGATGTAAAAGGGACGTTTTTAGGGGGAGAGAGAGTGTTTGATTTATACGAGCTAATTTGCAGTGATAAATAATGGGGTACCACCTGAACTTGACTAGACTGATGGCGTTCAATAATGCACGATGACGTAGTGCGGTCTTCTCGGATACGTCGGGATGGTAATTGAATCCGAATTCGGATGCGGTTCGGCAATTCGACGATATGCGACTCCGGTTGAATTGACAGGCTTTGTGTCTATCTACGCACAGTGGTACTACTTGGTGCTTAATTACGCCCTGCGGAATCGGTATTTATATAGCAGGTTAACACCGAAATGATACATAAAATCATGTAAATCAATTCTCATGAATTAAATATTCTTCTTGGATTTTGAAGAAAAAAAAAGTATAATCAGAAATCCTATTAAATATTACATTTCACGCAGTTACAAGGAAATAAACACCGAAACGTTCCTGTTAATCACGATAAAGCTTGGCTTGTAGCGAACCGGAGTAGAGATACTCGTACAAATGCACTTAATCTTAAAATTCCGGTACAAAGTGAAATCATGCCGCCCGTTTCTGGATAGTATAATAAGAATTTATTGTCCTGCTTACGTATACTCAACATTAATAAACAAGAAGATTGGAAGACATGTCGACATCCACCGAGAAAGAACGTTGTTGAACTTTTGCTGGTTCTTCCTGATTTCACAATCGCATTAACACGATTTCGTAGTAACAATGTCAATAATAACAATAATTGTCGGTGTCTTTGTAGCAAACTCGCCTATAACGAGAAACACTATGTTGTGACAAGGATATCAAAATAGAACGCCGACGTCGAGTTGTTTCTAAACGCAACGCGTGTTCGGCCGCATCGTCGTGATGTAAATAAAATATTTGTCTTCTGGCATGTATAGCGTTCGCATTGCTTTTGCATAGCTTTTGCTTACAGAGATCGCATACTTGGCACTCCGTCTAAAACCATTTAAGCTACTGGCAGCGTTTACGGAGAAAGCTTGTAACAGTACGGGTATTCGCGTATCGAGTATGGGCAATTATTTATTTTGTTGTACTTACAAGAATTCTACAATTTAGATGATTGTACGTAGAGATACTGATGTTGAAGAAATATATCTTGTGTGTATTTCATAGAAATTTATAGTCTTTTCAGAAATAGTTGGATTTAACAAAAAAATCTTAATTACGCGTTTCTCATAAATTAAGAAATCTTGTCGCTCTAATTAAAAGGTCGAACCGGATCGTTTATTAAGAAACATCGTGTACAAGATAAAGTTAATTAAAATTACCGTAGAGTATCTATCAATTTCAACGATTTTCTTTACTATCCAAGTCGGTAGGCTTTGATCTCCTCGACGATCGTTTCGGAATGCAATCTACACATAAATACGCGTAGTACATTTAAACTAAAAAGCAGAAACGCGTAAGCAACAAAAACAACAACAAGAAGTAAACTCGAAGGAGAGATAACGCCGGTGATCCCATTGTTTGTTATCTGGAACGCGAGTATTACGTTTTCCAATCTTGGCCTCATAATTATATTCATTCCGAGGCATAACCCTCAGTTCCAATCTGCATAGTAATGAACGCCCTTTGTGATGCCCTCTGTGTGTGCAACCTGCCGCTAAACAACGAACGGCACAGCCTCTAAAAGCCAAAAAACTGCGACGATCGACAAGTTGCCGTGGTCCTGTTCAATATATATGTAAATATGTATGTGTGTGTGTGTGTGTGTGGGTGTGGTTTTGCGTAATTTTTACGCCGTTTTTATTGCACCCAGACGAAGAAATAAACTTTTCTCAAATATTTTTTTATTGTTTTAAGCGTGGATTGTGTAAATTCCAACGATTTGAATTTTTTCAGACTTTTAAATGTAGTTTTAAAAAAGCACAACTTTATTGTACACACAATTTTAATTCTATTCAACAAATTTGAGAGTGACTCAATTAATGTTGGCAGGAAATTATAATTTTCATCATGGGATTTACAAATTAACGACGACAATGAGGACAAATTTACTTAATGAGCTTAGTTTAATTATGTCTTGATCAATTTGTTGTCACAAACTACCATTATACTTACTTACAACAGTGTTCACGTTCGTTATAAATAACTGCCAACTTCAATAGGTATTGCAAAAATTAAGGTTAAATTGTAGTAAATCATATTAAAATGTGAATTTTGTATTTTGTTAAACTTGTCCAAAATTCATTGTAACAATGAAGCAATACACGACATCGTAACAAAATAAGAAGATTTTAAACATTCTGAGAAAGATGATTCATATAAGATATCTTTTACATTTTCTGAATTACAACATTTTGATGGCCAAATAAGAGCAGTGTATTTTTTTGGCTCCTTGCAACATTGTTTCTCTTTAGAACCCCATGTATACCACTTGAGCCACATTGCTTTTTATTTTATCAATGAAAATGGAAGAAGTATTACTCTAAATCTACTTTACTATTGGACCAAATTTATTTTTACAAGCATACTTTACATTTTGCAATGTTTTATAAAACGAAAAAGTCGTTTAAGCTGAATAACCAGCAGCAAACAGTTTTCCTTGCAAACGGGGCTATAATATTGGGTAATGTTTCTAATACTTTTTTGGCCGTCTGTATGTTCTATCTAATTTCAAAAGAATATGCACAATACTAATACTGCTTTTATAGCTAATACTCCTTATATATCTCCTAATACTCCTTCATTATATCTTGGGCGTTTTTCCTCTACCATTTCCAAGAGTGTCAGTAAGATAAGTTGTCTTTCCAAGAAGTTCTTGAGAATATTATACAAATTATCTATATATAAAGAATGTCTTTTGTTTTTAAATCCTGTCATCAATGACTTGATCACATTTTCCGCATGGTCCCTAATTCACAACCACTGCCATGAACACCATAAAATTAATCCATTTTGTTCAGTGAGTAAATACAGTTTTATTCTATATTTCTGTTTCTGTCTCTTATTGTTTGGATTTTGACAAAACTTCTTATGGGAATGACTAATAGTTTGTCTTGTTTCCAATCTGCAAAGTACTGTAAAGTGGTATTTCAAATCGGAAAATTGTAAAATGACGTTGAGTACTCATACTTTGTGGAATACGCCATTACTGAATCGCTTTTGTTGCCGAAAACATTTCTGTCATTGAATTGTATGTTTAAAGACGATAATGAACAATAGTAAAGGGTGACAGTGATTCTCAGAAGATACTTATCAAAACAAATCAAGGAAGTACAAAAGCAAGGTTGAATGAGACAGGTTATGAAGAGCAAAAATGTTTGGAAAAGTTGCCGTTTGAAACTACGTTAACGTGTGGAGATGAATCATATTCCTATGTATACGATTACCAAACGAAGATTAGAAAAGCAGAGGAGGAAGAACATTTCCACACTGTTTGTTTACAGAAAGTGATTTGTCTTGAATAATTCCCAAAAGTAAATTCAGGTTTACTGACGGGCATTTTATTGTTCAGGTGATTATGTTAAGGGTGATAAAATTTATGTCAAGGTTGTCTTTTTAATTCGCAGACATTCTTACATTCAACCTAATAATACAAGGGCCATAATAAGGGGAAAACTAAGAGCAGACGTCCATAAGATTGGATTGAGATCGTTAAAGATGCACCCAAACTAAGATCCAAAGGTTTGCAAAACTACTTTCCTACAATGTACAATGTTTTTTTTTGTTTTTCTGTTAATAATGGAAAATTCTGTATCTGCAAAATACTTCAAGTAATTTTTTCCATACATAAAAATAGAAAATTGAACGTTTACTATTTTTCCAGATTCTTTTGCAATAGCGTCCACATAATTTCAGCATTTGCAACATTTGAAATCATTTTGTATGCAACAGGTTCATAAATTTGTTTGACAAAATTGTGAAACTGAAATTAAAAATTCACAACCTAATATTCTAATTTATATAACACAATAACAATGCAAAAAACACTAATTATAACATGTTTACATTGTAATCATGTAATTAATTGTAATTACTAAGAAAAAAGTTAAGATAAGAATGTTATACATTATGTGATTAGACGTCGGTATGAAACAATTTTTGTATTAATACTTCATACCTTTCTATTTCCTATTGTCTAGAAAGCCATTTTAATCGATTTTTTTGCCTGAGGACCTATAAAAATCCCTTCTTTCCGTTTAACCTCACTAAAGAAAGTAAATAAATAACTTTAAGTAATTAAAGCAATTAACTCTAAAATTAATTCCGCACTATTGTTGTTTTTGTTTCAAAGCCACAGAATAACCTATTGAAATAGATAGGTTTTTATCGCCATTGTGCTAAGGGACCGCCTTTAAACTGTATTTTAATGAATCAATAAAAAGACGCCATTCATATGAATTATGACGTATATCTAACTCATTCATTAGGCCCGTAACATCGTGCCACACACTTAATGATTTTCTTTCCCATTTTAAAATCAACTTTAGAAGGCTCATTACGGTTATAATTGATGTCACATTCACTCCAATTGCAAACAGATTCCATTGCTACAGTGTAGAACTCAATAATTCGCCTTTCTCTTTTGATAGGTCTAAGTCTTTAGCCAAATCGGTGAGATCGCATTGATTTATAAGGTGGGGTTCATATATTCTAGGAGGTTCGTATAACGGAACTTTAGAATCCCCCGATCGGAAAAATTTTCTTCTTCAAGTATTGATAAGGATCAGTTGATTGGTACAGGAATATTAACTCTTTTAAAGGGATTTATGCGATTATATTTTTGGCGAAAAACATATTTGTTTATACTTAAGATTTCATAATTTCATCAGCCACTAAGAAGATAAGCTGTATAATTATCTTCAAAGAGTTAAATTGATGTTGCTAGTGAAGTTAATAAAGATGTAGAGAATTTTTATTGTTGCTTATACGAGATCTTTGAAAATGACATTCTTTTATAGCAATTAAGTAAGGCGAATTAGTGTATTTATGTAGTAGGTCTCTTCTTTAAAATATATTATAAATGAAAATGGTCTGAATGTGATAAAGTCACATAACTAAATGTTTTGGCACATATCGTCGACCTTTAAAGAGTTGAGGCAAATATAGAAAGGGATCCTAAGCAGTTACCATTTCAATCTCATTACCATTTGTACCGAGGTAATAAGAGTAACAGATAAAAATAATTGCGTATATGCAAAATTTATACTTTCTCGACATGAATGCATATGAAAATTTCAACATAGATTTTATTCCAATATACTGATTCAAACTTTTACAATGTCACTAAATAGATAAGAGACATTGTTGCCGAAAGAAGTTACTTTGATGCCATAAATGTTAATTTTTAGCGGTTTTTACTTGCATGCGTAGCAAATAAAAAGCGAAAATCATTGACTTACCCACTTTGATGCCTTCCCTAAAGTTAAGTTACGGTGGTGATGTTAAAGTATTTACCGCAATTTGCTAGAAGAGAATATTTGAGCTACGCCAGAATTATATAGACATATTAAGTAGCTTAACAACTTAAATCTTATCAACCAGCTGAACGAGTACAGAAACGAGATCGCAACAGAAAATGGATAGAGTACTGATAATAATATAGGTTATTAACTTGCTTATGTAATAGGAAGCGATTTAAACGCATCTCCATGTCCTAGTGAAAATCAAAAATCTTTAATACAAGAAAACAGTCAATTATTACAAGCATTGTCTAATTTCACTCTAAAACAAGATATACCTGAAGATATGGTAATACCAATTTTAAATGCTTTAATTCCATTAAGAAATAGAATCAGAAATGAGGATGTGCCACGAAGAACTGGCATCATAGATATAATAGCATGAATCGAGGAGCTAAAGTGGCAATGGGTGGATCACGTAGCCAGATAAGATCATGCTAGATGGACAGGGAAAATGACGTGATGACGGCCAAGAATAATAGAGCACAGTACGAAGAAGATAGGCATAAAAAGAGTTGCGGGAAGCAGATGGTTTAAGGTGAAGAACTGATGACTGAAGAGAGAGAATTCTATTTGGATCAATTATTTTTTTCACCATCAATTGAAGAAGCTGGATTTACTTAGCTAATGCTGGAATTGGACGAGGACATACTACTTTAGTAGTAAGTCAAAAAGAAGTTGTAGAAAATTTTAATGCTCGAGTTAAAACTTCATAAGAGGATGCATACAGCGGATTTTGCTTACCACTTTAATCCATAAAAATCGGAGTTTCAGGGAGTGTCAGAATTTCATTCCGTGTAGATTTTTCCTGGTTGATCGAGCTCTATCCTTGTTTTGAAAACTTTGCATGTTGAAGATACACTGAGAGAAAAAATCATCTTTAAATAAAATGGTGGCGTAGTTAACGAAAAATTCTTGAATTTAGTGCGAAAACGTTTAAGATGAATACTTATTAGTTCAATTTAAAAAATGTTATGATTATTGTAAAAAGTACGGTTTTTTGCTTTAAAATAGGTAAGACACTTAATACTACTATGAATATATTTTGAAGTAAGTCAGAAAGTTTTTATCGAAAATGTTTACTTATTTTGGGGTAAGATATTTTATGATTGTTTTAAAAGGTACGGTTAGTCCATTTAAAATAGCAAGACACTTAATTCAACAACGGACATATTTCAAAATAAGTGATAAAGTTTTGATGGAAAATGTTTACTCATTTTGAAGTAAGATATTTCATGATTATTTTAAAAAGTATGGTTTGTTCTTTTTTTTAAACTTTAAAGACAATTAATATTTAGGACGAATATATTTCGAAATAAATGCGAATGTTTTTATAGAAAACATTTACTCATTTCGGGTTAAGCAAATTCTCAATCTCTTTAAAAAGTACAGATTGCTTAAATAATTAAAAATAGTAAAGATACCTAATATTTACAACAAACATATTCCGAAATATGTGCGACAGTTTTTATGGAAAACGTTTATTCATTTCTGCTCGCGTAAGAGTGATGTTTAAACTAAGGCATAAACTAAATAAATTAAGGTAAGTTGTTAATACCGTATTATAAATTAAAAATACGTGCTTTGAATTTTGTTATTTAACTGAAACTTTCAAAATATTTTTTTAAGAAAGAATTGCTATAGCAATTCTTTCCATCTTACAACCGAAGTGCTAATTCTGTTAGAAGATAATGCCACCATGCTTATGGTCCGAAATGAATACGAGGAGAAGCCGAGAATAACTCGCTGCACTAAGTCGATTAGAGAAAGATCAAAAAGAACGTCATGCAGATAGTGATTAGGAAGATTAGGAGCATTCTAACAACAGAAACGCTAATTTGTATAGGAAATATTGATCAGCTTCAACATGGAATTATTCTTTACTAAAGCAGCTGTAATAACTGACATGGAGGGTTCACGACAAATAAGTCCTGGCTGATATGGAAGATTCAGCATGCTATGAAACGCGTAGTTTTTGGTAGAAGACAAACCTTTTGCGTCAAAACGGACAGAAATCAACGATAGAGGATAAAAGGAAAAGTCCAACAATCGGCAAATGTACACAATATAGAATACTACTAATCTTAACGATTCACAAAACGTATTAAATGAGAAATAGTAATCACGTAGGTAATGTTTCATCATTCATTATTTTTAATTATGATTTCATCACGTCAAACTTGTTTTTAACAAGATAGCTAGTACGCATCTACAACGGCAAACATTACATTAATAAACATACGTTTAAACGTGAAAGTTTCTAGTTTTATTTTTTTTTAACTTTTCATATATATATCACAACTAAATAAAAAGAAAAAGTGTAAACGTTGTTGATGAGGAACCGTGTCGTAAAAATTAACACTATGTAAATGAAAGAAATTAACCTACAAGGTTGCTGACGAAAAATGTCGGGATCTTATCGAATAGCTCGATCGTTCCACAAACAAATTACGAGTCCACGGGACAAAGAGGCTTGGCGTTAGGTCAACGTTAACGCATGTAAATTTATGTACAATTAACCACTTCGTTGGGGTGACGAGGAAAATTCGAGGGGATGAAAGGGGTCGAAGAAAACAGGGAGAACAACCAAATACAATCGTTTCTCGTTGATTTATCACGCTCGGTTTCGATTCGACTTTAAATATTCACGGTTTTAAAGGACGTTAGTGTAATTACGCGTACGGAACGGGAACGTTGACGAATAGCTATATGCAAATGTGAGGTAATTAATCTACGTGCGCGAGGAGCAACGGCATTCATCAAGGTGAGAAAATTCGTGCCTCTCTTTAACGCGTCGCGTTTGTGTTTGTTCGTCTTTTTTTTTAATGGTTAAACTTTCATCATAACATTTTAAATTTAACTTCCTGTAACGGAAGAAACTGGAGATCTTATCTGTAATTAGGACTCGAAGAAACTCAAATGGTACTTCTCTCACGGATATTCATCTCCACCCACGGCTATTTTTCAATTTAGGTTTCCGTACTAAGAGAAAGTTTTCGCAAAATATATATTAATTACCTCGCCCAGTTATTAATAAAAAATAAATGCCTTATTCAACCACTTCTGGTTTATCAATTAAAAATCAATACAACGTTTCGCATTTAACAATGAACCTTTGAAGATGAGTTTAAGCAAATAACACTTTGCTGACGTTTAATTTGCCTTCGGTTACTATATAACTGCTTTCGGCTGTCACCTCATCTTCAAGAAGTGCATTTCAGCATCAGACGGCGACCGAGTTAAGGTCAACGAGTGCCCGTATATGGTCATCGGCGTTCATTTCCTTATGCGCACTTTAATTACTTGAAGTCGGCCCGAAGAACAGGACTGACAGCTTTTGTTTTGCACGTTGTCCTCCTTCTCTTCTTGGGACCGTGCAAGAAAATTCTTCTTCTTCAACAACGCATTATGTAACTGAATAAGTGTGTATAAGAAATGCACGGTTAAATTATTATTGAAATAACTTCTTTTTTTGTCGAGTGTCTCTTGTGAAACACGTAAGGATAACGTTTCTGAAACCACATAGAGATATCGAATTAATGTGAACTTTAAAAAAAATTCTTTG